GCAATGCAAGTGCATTGACTCAGGGCTTGGCTCACCCACTGACATAGTTATGTAGGCCATCCTACTCACACATACCATATAAGTATATAACCATCGCATTCACCTGCGCAAACTTTTTGCATGTCAGTTTTCCCGCCATAAAAGTTCATACTCCTTTCGAAATGTCCAGCCATTTGAGATTTAAATATGTATTTACGTTTAAAGAGGAACTAAGTAAACTGTTCCATTGTAATAGTTCTGTAATAATTTTATTCACTGAACAAAATTTACTTATTTTGTTATTTTTATAATTAATGTCATATTCAATAATCAAAATATTTTTAATATAAAAGAAGTTATATGATGTTATTAGTACGGAAGTACCGATTGAATAAAAAAAAAGAGTAATCGTCACAAATAATTATTATAATGAATAAAAAAAAATTACGAAAATTTATTTTATACGTTTCACGTTTAATATGTATTTTTAATTGAAACACTTTAAGCAACCATTTCTTTAAAGGCAGTTACCATAATTGCTACTCTCACTATACAGTAAAATCGAATCGAATATTTTGGTTAAAAAAAAAGTTCCGCAGTTTGCAGACATTTTGTATAGCTATGAATTTTTACAGAAAGCATTTCCTCTACAAAACGACAAGTACTGCATCTTACTTTCGTTGAAACCGACAATGGGAAGTAAAAGTGAAACCTGTACCCAGTAAAAATAAACCAGATACAATAAAAATCGGCCAACAAGTTATTTCGTTGCGATATCATCACATGAACTCTTTGTGTACCTATAGAGATACTTGTTCTCTATGAACTGTTCCGACGTATCATTTCTCACGTCTATGCTAAAAACATCTAATCATCGGTTTTGAATTTGGAACACCTCGTCGCCATTGCTGTGAATATAAGCAATTACACTACGTACTTTAACTGTTTTGTTATTAAGTCTATTTTAGTATAAAGATGGAAAAATTATAGGGCATTTTGTTAATAGGAGCGTGTGAAATAATCAGTATTTTGACAGTTTGTTGGGTGATATTAAGTCTTTTGTTTCAACAATAATTATAATTGTTGTACTAGTATTGTATAATTATTATTTAAATGTTATTACTTCAACTTAACCTACATTCTGAATAATGTAATTAATTTTTAAATGACAGAATTTGTTGCGTTGATATGTTGTATTATAAATTAACAGTAGGCGTTGACTCGCCTGTAGATAGAATAGGAGAGGCCCCATCTCGATCTATTTCGCGTTGACTACACGCGCATGCTGTGCTCCCTAGCCATTTGATTGAGACGCTGCCTAACCCTCTCATCAGGATGTTACATTTTGTGATGATACAGAATCTGAACTAATAATATGATAATAAAATATATTTGGCACAGGTTCATTGGTGCAAATATAGGTAAAAGGACGTACTGAATAAAATTGTAAAACTTCATTAACATAATCACATGCAGTCATGCTAACTGACCTTCTAATTACAATTGGAATAATGTCAGTGACCCAGTGATAGCAAATATTGAATGAGCGCATGACCATATTGTTCAAAGATATGCGTAGATTGTAATCAATCGACTGCTTGTTGCGGTGACCCGTTCCATTCGCAGGAACTGTTACTTTCTCATGATATTTCTGTTACATGATTTATTCATCACTAGTTGTGGTCGCGATTTCTTTCGCATCTACTTTCAGGTCGTTTCAAGGTTCCGTGTCTTTTAGTATAACAGTTTGTACGCTACTGGCTGTTTACCGCGGTATGGTGTTTGCCTTAATTCATAAAAATACTATATATATTAAAAAAAAAATCATAGTTCTCTGAAACGACAACGCATGTAGTATCACGGTTCTCACATGATAACGTAGTGCAATTCACGATTACATGCGACGGTCCCATATAAGCATATGGGAAATAAGATTGTTTGCAATTTCAGTTACATGAAAAAATAATACGTTCAGTAGCTCGCATGAATCCGAACCTAAAATATACGGAACCGATTTTTTTAAATTTAAATGGAATGATAACCTTAAACCGAAGCAGTTTACAAAGCACTCTGATTCATGGCTGAAATGGGTAAGACAGAGGTACCCACGAAGACTTTGTAATTTTTGGCAAGATATACCTCAGTATATAGGTATAGGTAGATAATTGCGAACTTTATGCATTTAGCAAACAACGGAGTTAATTTTTTAAAGAGGGTGTTATTAATGAGAATAGTAGCCATGTACCATGTCAGTTCGACTTCCACGCGGTCCCCTCTGGAAATCATCGTGCTCAATTTCTGATAATTTCACCACTATGCCAAACTGTGAAGTGAATTCAGGTTAGTTTGCCCTTTGAATCGTGACGAAATCCTATTATCCTTCACTGGTGCCCCGCCAGCATATACCGTTAGTACTGGCAGGTGCAGTATTCCATTATCATATCTGAAAAAATAAATTCAAGAGTCCGGAACTGAAGAAAATTTTTTTTATTATATAAATTGAGTTTAGGGTTTTTGTTACCAAACATGTCAACCCAGGAACTGAAGTAAGGAAGGAGTACTGATATTTAGGCATCGTTTAGTAAAACATATGTGTAACATACAAGCATCAGCCCTACAGCTGTATTAAAAAAATCAGGTATTTATCTATGTCACCAACAGGAACTGTGTCTCTGTCACTGGGTTGACGTGAGGCGCGTTTCTGATGAGGCACACTGACACATTTTGTTTGCTGTCCGTTTCAATCAAGTTCTTTTATGAGTTGACCATATGTACCATATGTAATCAATATACGGCCTCCGTAATCTAGTTGTACACCGCCTTACTTCCGATGGTCGTGAGTTCGATTCTACGCACTGTGCAAACATTTATATTCATGAGTATGATTGTTTGGCCATTATGTATGTATTTACAAAAAAATTATCTATCTATCTATTTCTTACTAAACAATTCATATAACTTTTTATATGAATTGTTTAGTACTAAACCACCGAGTTCGCCTTAAATCTAATATCATTAGATAGTATAAAATAAAGTCGCTGTCGATGTCTGTCCGTCCCTATGTATCCTTAAATCTTTAAAACTACTCAACGGATTTTGAAGCAGTTTTTTTTTCAATAGACAGAGTGATTCAAGAGAAAGATTTATATGTATAATACATGTACACCCGGGCAAAGCCGGGACGAGTAGCTAGTTTTAAAATAAATCATAACTCACACTACATCACTCTATACTAATGTACATTTAATACTACAAAAATAATTTCCGAAATTGGTACAGTGGCTCCGGAGTTTATTCGTACATAACAGAATTCGCTCACTCTCTCTCCCTTTAAAATATTAGTACAGATTGAACGGAAACATTTATTTGATTACTTGTTGCCAGCATTCTAAACCCTAAATTATATGAATAAGACTGTACAAGACATTGATCATTGTGATTATGTGCTCTAACTGTGCTTGCACAAGACATTTCACTTACGAAAGTGCATGCTGTGAGGTAAGGGACCGATCCCTCTGGGAAAAAAACTTACGCAAAACCACAGAACAATACTAACAACAGTCTGAAAATATTGCTGTTATTTTTTCTCACAATTACACCTTAGGTTTCCTGTTTCGGAGATATTCTAGTACCACAGATTCTGTCTTATCTTACATTAATTCTAAAGAATAGTACCTAATCTAGATTTGTTGGTGTCTAGGCTTTAGCAATTGCGAACATTAATTTGAAATTTGAGTGTTTTAGAATATGCACTTAAGTCATATAGTTATTGTATGTTCAGTCCAAAACGTAGAAATATTTCTCCTAGGGAAATCTTCAAACATGATATTTGGTGTCGAATATTACATTCCTCAATTACCCTGACATCACTTTATCAGATTCTGACATGATAATGAAGCCAGCTCGAACATATATCTGTCCAAAGAGAAAAAAGTACTAATATTGCTATTAAAAATAATATTAAATTATTGGGTTAGTGGTAGAAGGGTGAAAGTTTAGGATTGTATGTATGTTATAACGCCTTATCATTAAAATATTTAATTTCGTTCAAAAAACAGAAAAAAATTGGGACAAAATTAACTTGAATTGAATTGACCAGCCTTGTCACTTAGGTGTATTAAAAATAGTTAAGATCTATTTTCAGGCTTACTGAATATACACACAAAAGCCAGCAAATAAGCAAGTTTTAATGGTTTAATGAATGTACTGATATTGTTTAGTTATTTATATAATATAGTAACATTATCACCGTTTTTCGTCACGACTGCCCAACAACGCTTTCTATTTATATCTAAAGTTGAACTAGTAGAGAATGTTCTATAGCAAGCTTGCCTTTTGTATACGTTTTATTGTACAATAAAGAATAAAGAAAATATTTGAGTAACACGTTATAGTCATTAATAGCTAATAGTCTAGAACCTTGAGGCCTTGTTTGCGACTTTCTATGAGACATCTAACCAGTCTAACCTTACGAGTGGAGTTACGAAACTGATCGCATTAATTCGGCGAATTTTGTTTAGGCATACTCATCATAAAGTTATCTTTGGTTGCTGCTTATCATCACATGGACCGTCAGTTTAATTACCATTCTAATTTTTAACTTCAGTTCACTGCTACAATAGATGACAGGTACCAGTTCTGTATAAGTAATTTACAATGAAATTTGTTATTCATATGATACAATTTTTTTACCGATTTTACTTATTACAACCGCCTGTTACTTCACTGCCTTTTCTTACTCTTCAACTTACATCTAAAAAGCAAGCCGCTTGCTTAAGTAAGAGTATTAAAGTATTAAATAAGAGTAGTAAGAGAAGGCAGTAAAGTTACAGGGGTGAAATTACACATGATAACGTGATGTGTGATAATAGGCGACATTTATCATCATGATGGCCGTCAGCTTTGCCATTCTAGACATAAAAAAAATATATGCATATATAATACTTTTACTTCACTCTCAGGTGACGCGTGCAATATTGAAAGTACCAGGTAATAGTAAAAAATGCTCTCTTTTGTTGCAGATTTAAATAATGAAGATACTATAGAAGCATCAAGAATAAAAAGGGAGGGTGTCCCGGAAAATAGGGGTGAGTTTCAAATTCTTACCTCTTTCTTATTCTTCTGTATAAATTTTCTGCCTTTGCTTGAATGAATATGTTTCTAATCTGTTAGCTATTACTCTATCTGTTCCAGAAGATATATTACTTCCTATATTCTTTTATTCTTTGTTATAATATATTTAACTCTTTAAAGTATTGTTATATTCATTTATATACATGCCTATTTATTTTGATGATTGGTGATATTTTGAAATTGATACATAATTTAGAAATACCATAACTGCATAAAATTCAATAAGATAAAAAATACAATATCATACAACTTGTTGCCACATAATGCGATTTTAAATACATCCAGAACAATTCAGAAGTTTGCAACAATTTTTAGTAGTTTTAAAGTAAATAAAAATATTATATATTCATATAACTTACATTATTAGAACTCATTCGTATGTACCAAATTACCTTATACGGTAATTTAAATTGGTCTACTTTACGCGTATAATTATTTTTTATTTCAGATAATTGCATATTATTTCGTAATAATCTAATGTAATTGGCAAAATTGCATTCAACTAACCTTGAGTTCTCTTCAATATATCACCAACATTAAATAAATTTGAGTCGTTGTACAAAATTAGTGCTAACACAAACAAATTTGTCGTTCTCGTATCTATTAGTGTCTTATTTATTCTATTCTACTTGTATTTGCATTATTAATTGTATGTTTTTTCTTTCTCTTTCAAATCTAATCCCCGGTCGTGGTCAACAAATCAACTCAACTGGATTATTGTATTATAACGCACCTCCAACGTTCACAATCCTATCCACGACTTGATTGACTATGACGGCAATGATGACGTAGACTTGACAGTTCTTCTTGTTAATGACCAGAAGAAAAACGACTATAATACGAAGATTGGGAGGTACCACAGCGTGAAACCTCTCATTGGTTTACTTACATCGACAGCCCGAACGTTCATCCAAGATGGCGTAACCACGGAATTTGCTACGCAAATCCTCGGAACAACTTTAGATAACGGTCGCATCTATGCGCAACTCCTAACTAAATCGTCCCTAGTACTTTACAACAAGCCTTCAAATGTAGACGAACCAGTCATTGTAAAACCAACACGTGTACACTCCAATTTTGATGGTCAATGGAACGTTAAGCAAGATTTAGGCTTCATAGATCCAGAACAATTTGTTCTTAAAAATACTGACTATTTGGCTCCAAGTAGTAAGATGGATATAGTCTATGCTAGCAAGCCAACAGATGACAATCTTAAATATTGGGGTTCTCCAACTTCTCCTGAAAATCAGGTTGAAAATCAAATTTTCGATGAACCTGTCGGTCGTAGGATACAACCATTTAAAGAAATTCCGCGATATGTTCAAAATGAGGCCTTTAATTTCCTTGACGGTCCAGCCATTGACGGAGAAAAGAAGTTGGAATTAATTGTAAATCCATCAATTTTAGAAAATGTTAATACCTTACATCGCCAAAATAAAGCTTATGAACCAGTAACAGAGTCTATTAAAAATGAATCTCGTAGTAAAGAAGATAATATAGATGAATCGAATATTGTTAAAGTGAAACCCGATTACGACCTCCCTACTTTTACTATTAAAAATGAATTTTCTCCAATATTTTATTACATTGACAACGTTGAATCACGACACGCAGCACAATCAGTTCAGCAAACAAAACTCCCAAAGAAATTGTTTGGTCAAAAAAGCGAACCAAGACCAAAGAAAACATTCACGTACGAGGGATTTGCTGACTTTACAACAGTGGTCGGTGATACTGTAATTATATTTACGCCTAATACAGATCTTAACCGTCCCCAAAATCCTGACGAAGTGAACGTTTTCCCATCAGCGAAGCCAATCGACAAATTATCCACTAAAATAACATTCCTTGCTGCCGATATTCCTGTAGCTACCTCTACATATAAAGCTCATGAAGTTAATTCAGTCACAAAACTTACTGATAATAGGCCAAGCTTGGAAACACCAATATATAATGATGAAGAATTAAAGAAAGTACATTATGATATCGATAATGGAAACCTTAATCCTATTAAAGTACAGTATAATAATGGATTTGATTTAAATCTTGATGTAATTCAACCTTCCGAGGCATCTATAACAACGACAGAGAGTACTCAACTAACTCATGATTTGGAAGTTATCCCAATAAAAGAATACAGCTCGATTGCTACTGAACCTCTGTTTCCAGTTCAGCCTTCAGCAACGGTAGTCGACGACTTCAAAGAATCAGTTGTTACTGAGAAAGATTTGCGTGAAGTATTTATCAATTCTGAGGAGGAATCTGAAAATACTGCTGCAGAGGTTACCGAAAAAATTGAAGATGAAGAAGAAAATGATAACCAGAGTAAAGATACAACTACTGAAGTGGAAGACATTATGACTACGACAGAAAGTGGTCACAGTGAAGAGTCATCAGAAGAAATAGAATCTACAACGGAAACGAATCATGATGCGCATCGAGAAGTTTTTTGTACTGAGGGCCTTGAAACACGATCTACAATGACTACGGCTTATAAAACTTTGACTTATTTAACAACTTACTTTATACCTCTAGAAAGTACTGAAACTACTACTTCAATTAAATCTGATGTTGTTGTGGAAAGTGATGTTGGATATCTTACAAATATAGTATGTAAAAGTGATGTAAATATAGAACCGACAGCTGTCATATCAATAGATATAGAGTCGTCAGTTGTTACTAACATTGAAGTTCCAGAGTCTGTTTCAAAGGAAAGTGTAATTCATAATAGTCATCAGCCTGAAGTAGTTACAGAATCATCACAAACTTTAGATGAAGTTTCTCCAACATCAGAAGAAAGTGATGCAACTACAAACATAAATAGCGATGAAAAAGATAATCTTGAACTGGTTACGCAAGAAAATCCTGTTAGTATCGAAACAACAACAGAACATGTTACAACGAGTCACAGTCATATTGAACTATCTGTTAGTACGGAACATTCTACAATACCTACTGAGAAATCTACACCACAAGAAGATAAAGAAGATACCGAAAATGAAATAGATCTTATTTACAAAACTCTTTACACGACATACACATATTTCACTACATTTTTCGGTGACCAGACATCAAGTATAGCTAGTCATAAAGCCATTGTAACGAATATTATTACATCTACCGTTGATCTGTCTAAATTAGATCCTACTTTACTTGGAGCTTTCAACGAAGATGAAATTGCCCCGACTAGTGTCGGTATTGGTCGACCAACGGAATCATTTCATATAAATAGTATAATTGATTTAGTAAAAAATAAGGATGTACTAGAATCAGTTGAAATAGATAATGTCTATGCTTCTCAAACTCCAACCCCATTTTTAGGGGATGATGTTATTGATAGTATTAAGCCTGATGCTGTAAAGACTTACTATACTACTTATACATTCTTTACAACAATTTACGTAGGTACTGATGCTAACGTATGTAGCAGAAGTGAGATATATACAAATTATGTTGGACCTGAAGAACTTATACCTACAAAAAGTAATCCATTAGCAACAGAAATTACACGTGCCCCTTTTAACTTTAGAAATTGCAAACAAATAAAAGCTGAACCTCAAGTAAATTTGGAAGATAATTCGTCCGTAGAATCTAGTGTTAGTATGGAGGAAAATCAACATCCATCAGAGAACAAGAAACAACAAGAAACTATTCCTCAACCAAGCCCAATTGAAGTAGACATGCTGTTTAGTGTGGAATCAAATCCATTGGAAACTGAAAATTCATATGTAACTGATGTAAAATCATCTTCATCGAGAGGAGAATCAAAATTATTAGATAATAACAATATTTTAGAAGATCAGATAAGTTCAGAGAGCAATATAGACGAAATTATGCCATCACCGACTCTTTTATTGCAGACAAGTTATACCACATTTACTTACTTTACTACAATGTATATAGGTAAAGATTCTAGTAATGTGAAAAGTCGCTTGGAAACTATTACTAATGTCGTTACTGAGACAATAATGCCAAAGAAAGAACAGCAACAGGAAGAGGAAAATAATTTACCAATCACTTACTACACAACATTTACTTATTGGACAACATTGTATAAAGATAAATCGACTACAATTACTAGTCGTGAAGAAATTGTTTCAAATGTAGTCACACCACCTGCTCAGACTTTACAAACTATCAGTCCAATTGATACAACGCCTATTGACGTAGAAAGCGTATTACCACCCAAAGATTTAGAGGTTGAATTAAAACCTTCGCTCGTTGACGATGGACTAGAACAGGGCGACGGTAAAGTAACTATGTTTACTACGTATACATATTATACAACCTTCTATTCTGGTAACACATCTCATATCTTAAGCAGCCTCGAAACTGTAACTAATATTGTAGACAATACTAAACTTATTGAAGATAATCAGATAGGTCGAAAAGTTCCATCTGGGTCTATCGATAAAAACTTAATACAAGATAATGGCAAAAAACATCAAATATCGCCAACTGTTGTCAAGGAAGAAATCACCCCCACGAAACTTCCGGATCTTTCCTCTGCTTCACCGACTATACTGTTAGGTACATACATAGATAATTTATTTGCCGAGATCAAACCACCAGAAGAAAGTTCATCTACTCCAAGTTCTGAAAAGAAAATATTATTTTCGCAAGTTGCTGTTATTTCGGGAGACTCTACAGTAGTCACTAGTGATAACAAAACTTTGAAAACGGAAATTACATCTAATTACACAACAACTTTAAATCCTTCAACAAATTCTGATGCTTCTATAATTACTGCTGCACCAGAAGTAATTCAAAGTTCAGTTGCAGAACCAGAAGTTACAACTGAATTCAAACAAGAATCAGAAGAGGATGAGGAAGAAGAGACAGATAACAGAAAAAAGAGTCGACTTACATTTACACCTAAAAAGCCTACATTTACTCCTGTGATTATACCTTTTGCATCAAGAAATAGGCCAACTTTTAGTCCTAAACGTGTACC